ACCAGTATATAAAACAGGGCCATGCGATCTGCCTCCCCCAACACAAAAAGCCAACAGCCACTGCCCAGAGACTTGTGCCCAGCTCCCCACCTCGCCTGTTCCCCTACACACATTGCCCAGAGACCTGTGTTCAACCCCATACTTTGCTGCCCCCCACAGGAATTTACCTGTGCCCAGTACCTCCCACCACCACAGATGGCTAGTGCCTTTGCCCCCAATCCAGCTGGCTTCTGGGCCAGGTCTTTGCTGTCCTTGGCCCCCCAGTACAACCCTGGTATCTGCTTCACTGCTCTCCACCCAGGCTCTCGCAGCTCCTCTAGCCTCACCGCCACAGTAACCTCCCACATAGCAGCTCGTTGCTCCTCTGGCCCAGCAGCTGCAGCAGCCTCCCACTTCGCAGATCCTCTGGCCCTGGCCGCACAGCAGCTTTACGCCACATGGCTCTCCTGGCTCCTGCCATTCATCACACAGCTGTGTGGCTCTGCATAGGTGCCCAAGGTGAAAATTTGTGGGTGCAGCTTAGAGGGAACCCTGCCAACTACTCATGTAGATGAACAACAAGAAATTGCTAATCCTGTTCTGATTACTTCAGCTACCCAGTACTGGAGGACCAAAGTCTTGGAGGTAGCCAAAGACTTCCCAGAATATACGTTTGCCATTTCTGATGAGGAAGATTATTCATCTGAAATAAAAGATCTGGGCCTCATTGACAGTGGAGAAGATATTAACGTTGCGATTCTGGATGAGGGTGGCAAAAAATATGCCATGGAACCAGAGGAATTTGACTCTGATGTGCTCAGGAATTTCATTTTGGCCTTCAAAAAAGGTAAAAACCTGAAACCGTTTTGGTGGTTTTGGCAGGGAAGGGTAAGGAAAGCATTTGTGCCTACATTGGAGACAGGTTGTCAGGGCTTTTTGTTTTGGGGGGAGGGTTAGTTTTGGTGACAGTTGGGTGTTTTTTCTCACAATTGCATGGGGGCAAGGGCAAGAAATGTTTCTGTTGCCACAATTGAAAATGTATGCATAGTTATCACCCGTCTGATGCAAAGTTTTGTTTTGAGGCTTTTTGTTGCCCCTTCTTGCATTTGTAGCTTCAATAACTTTGTTGCTCAGTAGGGATGTAAAATCGCATTAAATTAAATTAAACAGTGCCTGCTGCGGTGGATGATGCTTACCAGTTAACTATTTACATCTCTGTTGCTCAGACTATCCAGTGACCTCTTGCCACTTCCAGCTATTTATTAACACATTATGTGTCAGTTATTTGAAAGGGTTAACCCACAATTTTCTCACAACTTGCTCCTGAAATATGTGTTCAAATGCCAGCATTCCATTATTCATATTCATTTCTAGCCTAAGAATCCATATGTCTGATATTATGGTGGTGGATCCCAACAATAAGATTTTTATCAAGGACATGGATTTCACTGTCTATATTTCACCAACTGCTTGTTTTAAAAATTAACTAAGCTAGCCAGGTTTTAAGTTAACTCAGCTGGTGAAGATTCCATCTTCCCTTGTTTGAACTGATGCATCTGTACCCCTTGCTGGCCGCCAATGACTGAAATCAGGGTTTATCCTGAGTGTATTAAACCCTCTCTCTAGAGGAGCTGATAGTGATCTGATAGCTGTTCTTAGTTGAATCTAATAGTGGTCTCTCTCTTGTTGACTTCACTTCTCGTTTTCTTTTCTAGGAAAGCTGAAACCTATTGTGAAATCCCAGCCAATACCAAAAAATAACAAAGGGCCTGTGAAGATTGTGGTGGGCAAAACATTTGACACCATAGTAATGGATCCAAACACTGATGTACTAATAGAGTTCTATGCCCCCTGGTGTGGACACTGTAAGCAACTGGAACCTGTGTACGCTGAGCTGGGTAAAAAATACAAGAACCAGAAAAACCTAGTTATAGCCAAGATGGATACTACTGCTAATGATGTGACAAATGATCACTACAAAGTGGAAGGATTCCCTACCATCTATTTTGCGCCCAGCAACAACAAAAAGAACCCTATTAAATTTGAAGGAGGGAACAGAGACTTGGAGCATTTGAGTAAATTTGTAGAGGGACATGCAACAAAACTAACGAGGACAAAAGAAGAACTTTAGATGAGATGAGGGTGGAGAAAGATTTGTCTATACAATGTAGGTAAAGCAAGTTACACTCAAATTTGTTGAGGGAACAATACAGCAGTTTGAGCAAAGGGGATTTTTAGGCAGAAATAATATTGCAGTATCTGATTTTTATATTACAAAAATAATCATTCTGGACATTGAACTTCTGTCTGATATGAATGTCTTTAGGCTAGTTATAATTTTGATCTTTGGAGGGAAAAATACAGTCTTTATTTTTTTGTGACTACCTTGAGCCTGATTATTTTTTACTACAATGTAGTTTGTTTTGTTTTATCAAAAAAAAAAAAAAAATTGCCAAATAGGCTTGCTTCTGTCTCTTGATAGTTTTTCAAAATTCTTTTTCTATTCAAATTTGAACAGCCGTTTAATATGGCTGTATCACTTTCTGTCTTTGAGGATGAGAAGGGAATTTTTAAATGGAGAAAAGTCTTATCAAGATCAGATGTAAACAAAGGTGCTAACACAATATGCTTCTCCACCTGTTTGCTTTTGCATACACTTCTGTTCCTACAAAACCACAAGGATGTCTCTGTTCACCAGTGGCTCTCCCAACCCCTTGATCATCCCTTACTCCAGGGATTGCATTGGATATACTCTGAAGTGTAATACTTGAAGTAAGAATATGTGATGACATATCTTGTTTAATAGGACTGCGTCGTAACATTATTGCTGGGTTTAACCATTAAGAGCTTCATTTCTTTTTACCAAAGACTTAGGGGCTTTTGTTCATAGATGTCTATTAACATGAATCTGTCCATTTTCTTTATCCTTTGTGTATTAAACTCTCTCTAATGGACCCTATAGCTGCAAGCTGTGATGTGAGCACCTGCGCATTTAGAGCAGGACTGTCCTCTTTCATTTACTGTACAAGTTGTTGTATGTGTGCGCCCAAGTAAGACCTCCCCAGGTCTCTTCCAACCCTAAATGCCTACCTGCACTGGGTTACCACAGGAATAACTGCTGCTGTGGACTGTGTGTTTCAGGCACTCGATCGTAAAATTCTAATGCGGGAGAGGGAAAAAACCCTGCGATATTCAGTATTTTGAATACGCGACTCTTCTACCAAAACCACAAAGATAATCAAGCCCCCAAAAGGGTGGGAATGTTGAAGCTCTTTACTAGTGCCCCTTTGCGGTCCAAATTTTTGGGTGCCATGTAGACTCTTAAAAATCTATATAATCCATCCAGAAAACAGACCGGATTTGTGTGTGTTCAAGGGTTGGAACATAAAGGGAAAGTGATGGGAAGAGGAAGCTGGGAATACAGAGTCTGACAGGAACCTTTTAGGTTGCTTAAAGAAAGCTGCCCAAATCTCCGGTTTAATAACTTTCCTAAATGACTACTGATGAAAGCCAATGAAGGGGCAATTGCAGCCTGTAATTTGGAACAAAAAAAGCTTGTGGTATGATCTAACACTCTTGTATGCTGTTTCCAGTGCCAGACCTGGTACTTGACTTTTTTTCCCCCCTTTGTTAGAATTGAAAAATTCATGGATTGTAACTTCCTTGGAAAAAAACACAATTTTATAGAAAATAGGTTTTAAAAATAAAATCTCTAATAGCACTTTCTCAGAGGTTTATTGTTGCAGTCTGCTCCATTTATGCCATTATGAAAATTCCCAGTGCATCACTGTTTACAGGCAGATTGCAGACCCTAATAATGTTGTTCTCTACCCCCGCCTGTAATGACCATTTTACCCCCTAATGTATGTGCCCTTTATAATAACTTGTTAATTCTCCACAATGTCTAAAAGAAAACTTAAGTTCCCGTGTAACATGCAGAATCATGCTCCCATCTTGTTCCCTCTGTGCTCTTGTATAGGAGCAATATGACACTCCACTGCCTGGGTAATTCATTGTACAGTAATTCCTCATTTAACATGGTAGATACGTTTCAGAAAATGATCATGCTAAGTGAAAATGTGTTATGCGGGGTCAATTTTTCCCATTGAGAATAATGGAAAAGGTAGGGGTTGCGTTTGCACTTGCAGCTCCAGCCTGCACTTGTTAGCAGCTGGGACTGAGACATAAGGTTGGGGGAGAAAGGGGACTGGGTTATAGCAGGGGGGGGAGGTGTCTGTGTCTGGGGAAGGAAAGGGGAGAACGGGAGGGGGCTTGCAGCCAGCAGCTGGGTTTCCCCCCCTGACCAGTTGCTGGCAGATGTGTGGGGCTTCCCCTGCCTCCTTGTGTCCGGCGAGGAGAGGTCACCGGGGAACAGCGCAATGAGCAGCAAACCTCTGCCGCTTTGCAGGGAGGCAGGGAAAGCCCTGCACAGCTGCTGGCAACCGGCGGGTTGGGGAAATCGTGTTACTGCGCGGACAGTCGTGTTCGAAAAATGTTCCCTAAAAAAAAATCGTGCTATCGTGAAAATGTGTTAAGCGGGCATGTGTTAAGTGAGGAATTACTGTACTCGTGTTTTGCTTGAGCTGTCAACATACCTAGGCAAAAATGAATATTTCAGTGTTTGTGTTACAGGAGTTTTACATTCCATCTTTTGACTTTCTTTTTTCAAAAAACTGGATTGAAGCAAGTGAACAGAGGATGTGCTATTGGAATGTGCTCAGATACTGCAGTGGTGTGCACACAGCAAGACTCTATATAGAAATTCTAGGTCAAATATTTTGGGCAGTTGAGTGGCCTTCAAATCCTATTTCTCTGGAGCTACATCTACACTGCAGGCTTCGTGCGCAAGAACTTGTTTTGCACAAGAGTTTTTGTGCAAAAGGTCTTCCACAAGAGTGCATCCACACTGCCAGTGCTTTTGCACAAGAATGTCCATAGCAGTCGGATGCTCTCTTGCACAAAGCTCTGATGGCTATTTTAGCCATAGCTATTTTAGCCAAAGCTGTTTCTTGCGCAATAAATTCCTCTTGCCTGTATGTAAAACCATGAGTGGTGTGGAGAGGGTGAATAAAGATAAGTTAAGTATTAGTTCCCATAATAGAAGAACTAGAGGACACCAAATGAAATTAATGGGTAGCAGGTTTAAAACAAATAAAAGAAAGTTCTTCTTCACACAGCACATAGTCAACCTGTGGAACTCCTTGCCAGAGGAGGCTGCGAAGGCTAGGACTACAACAGAGTTTAAAGAGAAGCTAGATAATTTCATGGAGGTTAGGTCCATAAAAGGCTATTAGCCAGGGGATAGAATTGGTGTCCCTGGTCTGTCTGTCAGAGGCTGGAGATGGATGGCATGAAACAATTCACTTGATCATTGTCTTCGATCCAGCCTGTGTGGGGCATCTGCTGCTGGCCACTGTCAGCAGACAGGCTACTGGGCTAGATGGACCTTTGGTCTGACCCAGTACAGCCATTCTTATGTTCAGTTACAACTAGAAGAATGAGAACCGCAACACTTCTTATTCAAGGCTAAGGCTTCTATTTCCTTTTGTCTTTGCAGTCTCTCTGAACAGACTGGGTTTTGTTCAAATGCTCTGTCTGGCTCCTTTCCAAGAGCTGCAGGTATCAAACTCCTTGTTACTTTTGAACCTGGTCTACCACACACTACCCCACACTAATTGTTATCTTAACAATTGCACATTTGTGCTAGCTTTAAAGATCAGAAAGATACCCTTTTCCCAAATATCCATCTTTAAAAATAGAACTTCTCTAAGCATAACTGCTCTCTGTGCCCCATTAAAAGCTCATGATGCCTTTTCTGTGCAGGGATGTTAAATTTCAGGTAATCAGCTAATTGAGAAGTCATGGAATTTCCATCAACTACTCGGTTAGTCAATAAGGGGTGAAACAGCAGAGCTGCAGCAGGGTCAGCTCCAGGCCCGGGAGCTAACCCAGCTGTGGCTTTGACTTCTAAATGCATTGAGTCACTAGGCTCTTAAAATATAAATATAAATATAATATATATATAAATAAAAATAAAAAGGCAGAGGTGTAGCTGGGGAGTGGGGGGAGGAG